GACACAGCACCCGCAGAAGCGTGACTTGGCGGCCACCAGCCTCGGGCCAGCCATGGACGCAAATCGATCATATCGCGATCGGTTACCGCTGGAGAGGTTGTGTCCAAAACTGTCGCTCGATTTAGGGCACCAGATTGGATTCCGATCATGCTCTCGTTTGTGCCGACCTGCGGGCACGTTTCGGCGGACGTCCTCAACGTCTCTGAACGCATTGACACCAGCCAGTTGGCGAAACCAGGTGTTCTGAATGCGTATCAAACTTCGCTGACATCTGGGCTGAGTAAGCGTACACTGAACACCGTCGAAGATCACTGGTCGCATATTCGTCAAGCGTTGCTGTTAGCTAGCATGTCTTCATGTGGCAAATCAAATTACCAACCTAGCCATTTGGTCTCTACAAAGTCTCTGGAGCTTATGGATGCTCGCCGACGTATTCCGGCTGGAATCGAATACAATGAGACTCCCAAAATTCTCAAGACAAAACCACGTGCTAGCCTGAAGGGAAACCGCGAAACCTAGTGGTCTCATTGTGCATCGGAAATGGAAACAACCGCTGCCGTTGGTAATCATCGTAATTTATTTCGTGTGACACGGGAAGTAGGCAGAATGAGATCTGTTATCAGCGACGAGAGTGGACATCCGATCCACAGCTTGTCAAAATGCTTGGATCGTTGGGCTGAACACTTTGCAAGACAATTTAACCAATCTGAGTTATCGCTTTCTTCTTGAGGCATTGAGCATCCTTCTCCCTGGACCGTCTCCTTGGATCCGCCCTCACGCGCAGAAGTCGATAAGGCTGTTGAAATTGCATAAGGCCGCAGGGGCAGAAAGAATTCCCCCAACCCTCTTCAACTTCGGGGGACTTGCTCTAATAGATGATTTACACGAGTTGCTAGTAAAACATTGGGAGCAGGAGACAGTCCCGACAGACTGGACCCCGCTCCGTCATTGTCCCAATTTTCAAGGGAAACTCCCGTTTGGAACGCGGCAATCATAGAGGGATCAGTCTGATTTCGATTGCCTCTAAATTGCTTGCCTCTGTCATTCTCCACAGATTGACTGGCGCTCTTGAAGGGCAGATCCGCGAAGAGCAAGCCCGATTTCGTCGAGGGCTGAGCTGCATCGACCACATCTTCACCTTGCGTCAAGTGTTGGAGCACCGACATGTTTATTGGAGACCCACCGTCGTCGTGTTTCTTGACATCAAAGGTGCCTTCGACTCAGTCGATCGATGTGCACTTTGGGACTGTCTGCTGAGGACAGGTGTGCCTGATAAATATGTAAACATTATCAAAGTGCTGTACGTGCATAGTCCGGTTAGATTGAGGGTTTATAGCAAACTGTCGTCTCCCTTCACTATCTTCTGCGGTGTGAGACAAGGATGCCCGCTACCACCTTTCCTCTTCAACTTCGCTATTGATGAAGTCATAGAAACAGCGTTCGCTGGACACGACCTAGAAGGTGTGGAGCTACTTCCTGGTGAGCGCCTTCTTGACTTTGATTATGTGGATGGCATTGCCCTCACATGTGACAGCTCCCTTACCTGCCAGACTGCACTGGACCTATTAGCACTGAGTGTCAGTCGATTTGGGATATGCTTTGTTCCGTCGAAATGCAAAGTTCTCCATGCTTGGCATGGGACCCACTCCTGTGATGACCCTTGTTGGTGATCATTTCGAAGTCGTTCAGGAATTCAAGTACCTGACCAGCTATATTAGCGCCTGTGGAATCGAAACTGAGGTTACAAACAGTATAGCCAAATTCCGAAGTTCATTTGCCAATCTCCACCACCTGTGACGCAGACGCGACATCACTCTCGCCCTCAAGTGCAGAGTTTACAATGCAGCCGTCCGTCCACCCCTCTTTTGCGGTTGTGAGACCTGGTCCATCCGGTCGACAGACATAAAGTGGCTCGTCACTTTCGATCCTCGCTGACTCCGTAGCTTAGCTCATGTCTAGTGGGCGCACCGCGTGAGCAATGAGCGTTAAGCCAAGACCATTTGTTCTTCAGTCTTTTTAACGAGCCACTTTTAATCCTTTTCACGGACTATCACATTCAAGTATTCAATCTACCGTGGAGATCATTACCGACCAATTCATTTGGCAAAATATGCGTTCTGATACCTGACAGTGACCCAACCGTTGTCTAAGTTATCAAATTGCCAAAGTGCATCGTCATGCTATCACTACTCCGGGTACCTATTCCCTTCCTGTTGCAGCTTTCTGACACACTGGATATGATTGGGCCATTGCCTTCTTCCAACGGTTTCACCTGTTCCTTGACATGTGCTGCCCATTTTACCCGTTGGCCGCAAGCTGTTCCTTTGCGTGACACGTTTGTCGAGTTTGTTGCCCGTGCCTTCGTCGAATCGTGGATTTCTCTGTTTGACGTTCCAGTCACCATTACCACTGGTTGAGGAACCCAGTTCAGTTCCACACTGTTTCGTGGGTCGAGTCGTTTGCTAGGTTGTGCTCACAGACGAACAACCTACCATCCCACCGTCAATGACCTCGTCGAGCGTTTTCATCGACATTTAAAGGCCACCATTATGGCTAGTGTACCGGATTCACGCTGGTCTGAGCGCGTCCCTGCCATCCTTTTTGGTATTCGCAATACCAACGAAGATGGTATTGGGTCCTGCCCTGCTGACCACGTGTTCGGTACAACCCGCAGAATTCCTGCTGAAGTGTACTGGACTCGCGTCACCGGAGAACTAGTCCCCAAGTTCGACACTGAACGCCTCAAACAGCATTTTCGGTCCATTCGACGGACTTCTACGTGGCCGAACGTACTCAAATTTCAAGTTCCCTCCGATTTGCACAACTGTCTGTTTATCTATATCCGCATCGACGCCGTCCGACGACCTTTGACTCCGCCTTACGAAGATACATTCAATGTATTATCTCGAAAACCAAAGTACTTCGTCATGGAGGAAAATGGATCACGCGATTCAGTAAGCATTGGTCGCCTTTAGCCTGCTTACTTCCAACCAACCTATGATAACACCGACTCTGTTTCATTCCCTCAGAGCACTCCGGTTCCTAATGCCTTACGCCCATCCAAACCACTTACCGACTCCAGTACTTCGCACTGTCTTTGCCCTCCAGCCACGAGCACTTCTACACATGCGTTTCGGCCGTGCTGTTTCTCTTCCGTCCAAGCTTGCTCAATACGTTCCGTAATTATTGTGTCGTGCGTTTCTTATCAATGCACGCTCTAGGGGGAGTATTGTAACTATCGTAAATAATTCGCTTATTTTTTATTCCTACCATTGCGTATTTCGCTGCAGTTCATGTACAGCTTGTTTTAATTAACTACGGAGATACGCGGCATCTCTAAGCTTGTCTTCGCACAGTTCTGCATTGCTTGCTGCCAGTTGTTGTGAATTGTGCGCTCGGCTGCCTGACTGGTCCACTGTCGGAATATACGAATATCTCGGCATATTTGTGAACTGTTTTCCTCCGACGCCGATTACAATTAGGATCCTTTCTGTGAGCTGAACTTATTCTTTGACTTGATTTTCTTTTACGATTCCCACAGGTTTGACTCTAAGTCTTGTTTAGGGCATTAGGGTTTTCCGCTGGATCCCCCTTCTCTCCCTGTTATTGTTCTTCGTTCCGTAGGTCATCGTGGTTGTACGACAATGAAGCACCATTTCCAAATGCTAATGTACTGCTGTTGATGATGATGTCTCCTTAGACGTTCGAACCGAGCTTGACCGAGCTGCTCTCTGGAGTTGCCTGTTGAATAGAGGAGTGCCTGAGAATTCAACATTCATCTAGCTATATGCTTCCGAACCTTGGGACAAGTACGGATGTACCGCGGATTTTCGCCCGCCTTTAGTATTACCAGTGGCATGAGACAGCGTTATCCAGCATTACTCTTGTTAAATTTCGCTATTTATGACACCGGAGAACGCTCTGGAGAACTGCGAATCAGGCGGCGTCCATCTACTTCCGGGGGACAGACTTCGTGATTTGGAGTATGCAGACGACATCGCCGTAATTCACGATTCCTCACAGGCCACCTACAATGTCCATATAGGTTGGAGGTGTCTCTTTCTCAGATCGGAACGTTTTTCGCCCCATCAGCGTGTAATGTCTTCCTACAGGACAGGTTAGGAGCTGCTCTTACTATTACTCTTTCAGGACATTCTCTGGAAGTGGTGGCAAGTTTGTTTACTTTGGGAGATGCTTCATCGCTAATGGTTTAATGCTTGAGGTCTCTTTACTCGTCTCTAAGGCTCAGGTTGCTCTTGCTAATCTCCGCCATATCTGGTGTCGAGGTGGTCTGAATCTCTCTGAAACTGCGAGTCTACAATGCCGCGGTACAAGTGCTGCTCTACGATTGCAAGATTTGGCCTGTTTGCGCAAAGGATGTAGAGAGGCTGTCTATTTTTGACCACCGCTGCCTTCTAAGTATTGCCGGCATACGAAGATTTTTCCTATCAGACAGACTTTGCTAGCCGCTGAACCGCATAATTTCTCTTCACTGGCTTGGTCATGTGCTTCGCATGCTCACTTAATTTTTACCTGACCTTGCACTCTTCGCTCGCAGAAGTCGACTGGAAGCGACAACATGGTGACCAACGTATGACATGGGTCAGAAGTATGAGGAAACTAACCACATAGCTGTGGTTGGGCGTCTTCGATTCCCTGGCTGAGGGCGCAAGGACCACGAACACAGCTGGAAATCCTCTCTGACATGGTAGAGAACCGTGCACTATTACAAACATTTTGTGGCACCTTACTCCCTTAATTTCCGTTATACTCTTTTCTTTCTCTTCACTTTTCTCGTATTATATTTATTCATATGATGTTGCATTACGAATTGTACTATTGGTTAAGTGTTCTATATATATATATATATATATATATATATATATATATATATATATATATATATATATATATATATATATATATATGCTCACGGACATGGTATTGTCACCAACGGTGAGTTTAGACGCTACTTGTTTGCAGTCCTTAATCTTCATATCCTAGGCTGTTCCCATTTCCCTAGGTTTTTATCTTCCCATCATTTTGGCTCTTGTCACGTATTTGTTCATGCTTTCATGCCTTTTCCCACTTCACATGGTTTGTACAGCAGGGGCTGCTTGGGCATGGTACCTTTGTATTACTTAGTCGATTGATTAATTTATTTGCGTGTTAACTTGTTCTCCAATGTTGCTGCTGTCACCTTTAGACAAAATGCTTGCTGAATGCCGCACTCGAGAAAAGCACTCACATGAATACCTTATTGTTCCAATTTCACTTGAATTTGAGATTGATAAGAATAGTTCCATGCTCAAGATATGCACACTTGCACACATTTTTGTATAATATTTGCCGCTATTCTTTGAACAATTTCGTGGTTCCTTGCTGGTGTCCTAATTTCTGTGTGCGTTTTATTGCCGATTGCCCCATCTCGTCAGGTATGGGCCACGCCTCTTATACCCTCCAGGTGTACATTATCAGCAAACAATGCTTCGGGGGACACATCTGTTTCGGAGCTGTTTGAATGGATCACCTTTTGATTCCACAGTATTGTCCCGTCTTTCATATTCTGCTGGCTCTCATGCCACCCAGGAGCAATACATGTTGAAGGACTCTTGTATCTTGGTTGACCACCTCGATAAACCACTGGGATACGCATCGAAGAAGGTGCACTCCATCGTTACTTTGTTCATCATTTTCAGTTTTGTCACGTGCGACGTGCGGACACTACACCTCTACATCGTGCCTTCAGTTTATTTTTGTTTAAGCAACTTGCAAGCGATCCAGACTCTGTACAGCTGCTTATTCAGCGCCGTTCGCCTTTCAAATTAACATTTCCGGGTTTGTGGTCAAACACTTGCTGCAGCCATCCACTCACTAATTTTCCTGACGAAATGATAGAAGAAAATGCTAGGGGAGTGCGATTAGCTGCTCAGCGTAAGGTATGTTGCTGCGACCTACGTACTGCGTAATTTTTTTGGTTGAATGCTGTGATGTTTTTCATTCCCTCAGTTAGGTTAGTTCTTTCTGTTTGGTTGTACCTTCCACATATGTAGATTGAAGCAATGGTCCTCCTTCATGTGGTTTATTGGCTTCATTCTTTTTGTTTTATATGCCTTCATCCTGAGATCGGCTTTTTGTTTCGCAATGCCATCAGTTTGCTCTAGTTCCTGGGACTCCCATCCTCATGCTCTTGGCTATATTTTTGGCCTGGCGTTTCATTTCGCTTCTGACTGTATGCTTAATGCAGCCCAACTGCTGCATATCGCTATAAACATAGAGTACCATTATTCCATTCCTGATCGCCGTTTATTTTCGAACATCGACTCCGATCGTGTCTCGATTTCTTTCAAGAATCGGACTTTGTAGAAAGCTTCAGCCAAACTTATCAGTTGGCGACTACGTGGTTCCAGTTCATTCTTTGACATGTCGGCATCATCATCATCATCAATTTACGCTAACTTGGGATGAGAAACACATTCCAGCTAATGTCTCGCAATATACAAAAGAGATTAAACCTTACAGATTACAAAGGCTAAAAAAGTAACATAATGCTAAATATCATATTATTCATTGGGTTGCGATCGTTGTTAGAACTGGAAGCTAAACAGGAGGGGAGGGACAAAGCGACTCACAACACAAACGCCATTGAGGTCGGCTCCTCGCCATGTCAGCAAGTGTATTCAGCCAAACGTGTTCCTCGTCCTTCAAACCCCTGCCCAGCAGCCGGGAAACATCAACCGACGTCAATTTCGTAGTGAGGGCCTTCATAACTCTTGACCAAGTTCTCGCTTGGCCTTCCCTTCTTCCATCCAGATCCCGGGAGCGCATACAGAGCACGACGCAGGAGTCGGTGCGCCTGCTTACGCAACACGTGGGCAAACCATCAGAGCCAGGTGCGTGAACTAACGTTACTACTCTGGTCACTCGCTCTTCCTGCACCAAATACGCGACGCCGGACAGATTGATTGCTTACGCGGTGCTCCCACCAAACATGAGGTAAGCTGCGAAGGCAGCGATGATCCCCAGCCGCGGCAAAAGAAAGAAGACGCAAACGCGATCAACATACAAGCACTCTACTCTCAATTTTGAGGATCTCTACACTTGGCGTTGTTTTTAAAACTCACTTGCTCACCCGATCGATCGCCTGATGGAACGCACTGAGGCAGTCACACTACTTTGCAGCGATAACGTTGGCTGTCTCTTTGTCTGGCGTTTGAGAGCTCGCATGTAAAACTGGCCTTACTCACTCGCCTGCTGCCACCACATTCTCCCTCTTCTTTTTTTCGTGGTTCTTGTGTTGCAGTTTCCAAGTTCATCCTAACACATCTGTCCGCGACTTAGCAGTGCTCTCGCGACATGATATGTTATCACTAGAAAATACAGAGAAATTTTACCGTGTGGGACTTCGTATGCTCGGGAAATTACGACGCAGTTTCTCCACATGGTCCCAAGAAACCGTCTCTCGTCTATTCACCTCGCTCCTTAGACCAATCCTTGAATACGGTGCTCCAGCTTGCCATCCGATAACCCATTGGGAAACGGAAAAGCTGGAGAAAATACGGCACATTACAACTAGAATGATACCCAGTCTACGAAAGCTTCCTTGTGAAAGACGTTGCGAAATGCTCGGATTTTACACACTATCCTACCGCCGAGTAAGAATTGACCTTATTATAACCCATCGAGTACTACACCTGCTGGAACCCTGTAACACCCAAGGACACGGTTACAAACTCAGAGTCCCCTGCATGAACAAGATATCACATCAGCTTTGTATCGAAGGAAGACTCGTAAAATTATATAATACACTACCAGAAGGATTAATAGAGGCCGATTCTGTGAAGTGTTCTCAAACATGTATCGATGATTATTTCGGAAACCTATGCTTATGTGACGCGGTGCTCATACAATGCAGAAAAACATCATATACCCGGAACTAATGACATCAATACGAATTTCTAACCGAAAAAGTATAAACGAGTAACTGACCAAACACTACCGCTGACGATTCGCAATTACACTTTTTGATTCTTCATAATTCGATAGAATTGTACAGAAACCTTTCTACCTGCTCTTAAATACAGTTTCAATCTCAGACCTTGCCGTAAAGACCCATCCCTATTGATGCAAGCCAGACAACGAAAGAATGCAGCACAACCTTTTCGCATAGCACTTTCATATTATCTGGCCAGTACCCTAGCAACGCAGTTCCACCAATAGTGTTCTCTATTTAACCCAGTTATGCAACACAACAACCGTCATCCAATCATCGGAGCTTGGTGAGGCAAGTAACTTAGGTCTTTCGGTTCATACCAATCGATGATCTCGTATGTCTCCCTAATCGCTCTGCTGCAGCAGACACTATTCCCATCACAGTTCTTTGCATTCACTTTGTGCTTGTAGCCCCATGCAGTGGTCTCTATCTTCCTCTAGTGCGCTTTATTTTCCACGTACTGTAACCTGGCGTTTGGAAGGATTCTATTCGGCAGGTGGCCGAGTGGTCTGTGTGCCTGTTTTGCAACCTTAAGTTCACCGGTTCGAATCCGCGTAGGGGTGGGCGTCCTCGCGATATACTCAGCCCGTGTGCGACTGATGACGGTCACGCACCAGCGAAGCACCGTTGCGGCGTACAGCTGACACAACATATCATAACATAATTTTCGGTTAACCAAGCCGCTTTACATCTGGACTCCGTTCTATTACGTTTTGACTTGATCTACTTCATTTGTTATCGGGTACGTGTAGGATCTTCCTAGTTTTACTACCGATCTCAATAAGCTGTTCCTTACCTTCGTCGGCTTGCAAATCGATCTGCAGCTTTTCTACTTCCTGGATTTACATTGCTGACCACAAACATAAATCTGACGCATTTCCCCTTCTTTTCTCTCTCAGATAAAGAGCGAGCTTGGGATAGATGGTACTCGTTACTTACCGTTAGAAAATATTCATTACCTAACACGCTTCATTTATTTCGCTCGTGATGACTCACCCAGTGATGTCAGTTGGGCCGAACACGAGGTTGACTACATTCTCGTCAGCTTCCTAGATCCCGCAGTTGGTGAGTTTTACGATCTCGGCTGCTATATGTACACCAGCGGAATATTTAAACCATTTCAAGTATTTACCTATTTTGACTTGTTTTGCGATACAGTATCATTAAACATCGCTATCCGCATTTACTTTGCGTCGGTTGCTTTTCTGAAGCGGCAAGGATATCCGAAAATAAAATGTAAACCATGGCGTGTATAGTTATACTGTACAGACGCTCTGTTTTCAAATTTCATGTTGTTGATCCACAGCTTGGCCTGATTGGGAATTTCAATGTTCGGTATCGGATGGATATACTTCCATGCATATGCACTTCATACATTCATTTACACTTATCACGCGGATCCATATGCTACGGATAAACTTGTGCGCTTATTTACGTTTATCAGTCCTTAGTGTTCGTAACACCATGGTCATGCCTTTACAGGCGTGTCTCGCACTGTGGAGAATAAAACATTTATTTATTTCTCGAAGCTACTAAATTCGATCCGTGTCACAGCTACATGTTGAATGTGGATTTCGACATTTTGTTTTTTTATCCTTAGACCAATTGATGCATCCTATGCTCCATACGGTCTTCTCCGAAGACCCAGCTTTCTTTTTTTATCTAGTTGAAAACCGGTCAAGAAATGCTTTTCCAGGCTGTTTCGTGTTACTCATATATGGTCGCTTATGAGCTGAGTCTATAGCACTTCTCTCGACTACCTGGTCAGGGCTCTCCATACCCCCAGCATTTGAGCGAAGGCAGCACGCAAAAATCAAAATGATAACTGGAAACCTTCGTATACGTGTGTAAGGCATCAATATTTGACTTTGCTAAGGTCGAATCAATGAGACATATTCTTACATGCGACTCTGAAATAGCGATTGAAGCATTTTATCTGAATATCGACCAATGTCTAGACATCATCGTTGTTGTTGTTGTTGTTAAGCAAAAGGGATACCGGCAAAATTAAGAAACAGCACTGTTTCCGCAAGCACTAAACGGAAAATCCGCCGGTTTGTCAGTGTCTACAAGAAAACTCACGTTTTTGCCAACATGTATCGACTTCGCAACTTATTTAACAGATTTAAAGAACGCCAATTAAGAAACGCATTTCCGAAAAACGCCGAGCTCTCTCAAAATCTACCAAGCGAAACCTTGTCGAGTTACTTAAATGTAGGACAGGATTCTGGAATGTCGGCGTTACATCTATTGCACTATCTCAATCAGTTTCTATCGAAGATCACCGATTATTTGAAATATCTCTCTCAGCACTTCTGTTCATCCTTTAATTCCACCAACCACACGACACCAACTGCTCCACCAACGTTGCGTTCCACCGATATTTTGGCGAGAATAGAGCTTACTCATTACAGAAACGAAAATTCCTTCAGCTCCTTAAAGCCATTTTACTACATTGGCCCTGACGGCACTCCTGGTCTCTTAAGATATGGTAGTCCTGATATTCCTGTCTTGTTTTTTTACCAATAAGAAACAGGTCAGTCCCAACTTATTGTAAAGGTGCCGGAATAGTTCCACGTTAGTAAAACGTCTCGAAAAACGATGTAGCAGACTATCGACTGATAAAACGTACCTTCATTTTGCGCAAAGTCATGGAAAATATATCGGAAAAGATGAATCTCTTTTGTCAAAGATATCTTATTAGCTCGGCGCAACATGACTACTTGAAGCATCGTACTTGCCAGTCATATCGCCTGAAGTTATCAAGTCACCACAAAATCTGTCGATGAGAGTGAATCCTATGTTAAAATGTTTCTCAACATGTACTAGGCCTTCGACCGGATACCTTATGACAAACTTTTGCTAACCTTGGCATCGTTTGTTATAACTGACCCCTTGGATTGGTGGTATCTATAGTCTCCATAGGACAGCTACGATGCCTGCGCCCACTGAGAGACCATGGATGCCTTGCGATGCACCACCCATAGCTCCATTCGCACACCCCGTATCGAACCTACATCCGAAGGAATAACAGCGGATGGAATGTGAATGGGAGCCAGGTTTCATCCACGGAGCTGGCCCAATGTGATTCACCATGCACAAGAGCAGCATTCCTGTTTACGTAAACTGGGAATCATGCATAGCAAACGTACACATCGTGGTGACTGGGCCGTAACCTGTTCCACGCTGAATGCATGGAACCATTTCTTGAGCCTAGCACAAACACAGTGACCGTTGATCCTGTCCATACCTGCAACTATTCACAGCCTCCTACCTAAAGGGTTTCCTAAAGGCAGACACCTTGTTGCCTTGATACGGTCTTGGTTTTTAACGATGTTATGGCGGCTTAGTCAACCCTGAATAGCTTCTCTAGATTGGTCCCATTATTTGGCATACGCTTCGCAGCCTCATAGTGCAGTGTTGTCACAGGACTACCAGCCACTTCATGTCCCCTTAATAGATAGTTGATTGATTCACTTTCCTTGGTAGCTGCATCCAGCAACAATGGGTGCATAACTAGTGACGTCTGTGCGCATATTGCAAAAGCCAGAGCTGTATTATTGAATCTGCGACATATGTGGCTTCGGAATCGAGCTTACCTAGATCTGAAAGGCCCTGTTTATGAGGCCGCAGTGAAGACCGCCCTGCTCTATTTAAGTGAGCCTTGGCTTCTTCCATCTGAGGACCTGCTGCGCCTTCAAGTACTTGATTTTCGCTGCTTGCGGAGCATTGCTGATGTCAGGTGGCACCAGCGTGTCCTGGACGATGATGTGCGTAGGCAAGTGCTATGCAGGCTACTTCCTTAGAAAAACAGATAGCATTGAATAAGTTGCGTTGGCTTGGGTACGTACTACGTGACCTGATCACTGCTTAATGAGGAGGGCCTTGCTTTGTTTGCCAGATGTAGGGTGGCGCACTCCCGAAGTGGGCAAAAGTTGACATGTCAACGTGAAATGAAGTCACTTGACGACCTAACTGGGTGCCGTTGGTGCGTCTTGTCTTCCAGGCTGAAGTCCACACCATACGTTCTGCACTTGGCTTAAAACGTTAGAGAATATGGCTCACAGTCGGTACCAGCGACGCATCTGTTGTCGTCTCCCAGTCGGACTGCCTGTTTACAGTGTGTTTGGTGCTGTATGCTCTACGGAGTAATAGCTGATTACGTTGTGCTGGAGTCCTGTAAACTGGTTTAGGTTAGACATCAAGCATTGTTGGAGAGGGTTTCCAAGTTTCGCGCAAAAGCAGTTTGCGATTTAACCTGCATAAGCGTCTGAACATTAAACGCAGCCAGCTTGAATAGCGAGCTGGGTGCAATAGAAACCTTGCTGTTGAAACTGAATTGCGTGCGATCGGTTTTGAGCGGGTCATTGATGTGGCCAATAATATCCTTCTTCGTACTTCGTTTTTGGAAGCTCAAAACGAAATGGCGGTTAACAAGAACTGGAGGGTTGATGAGATATGGATCGAAGGGGGTAATTTACGGTGCGGTAGAGAAAAATGTCCGGCCACCAGCATCTCGGCCGAAGAGAGAGTCCAGAGAGTGAGAACCGTGAACTGAGAGTTGTAAATCTATCATTTCATGTGTTGTGTGAGCATACAGTCCTCATGGCTTCATTTTCCTCATTTCTTTGACACCCAAACATGCCGTACTGCATCAGTCGAGAGAATGCTAGGTAAGATGCTTAGGTTTTATATCATGGGGACTGCATTTGGTGAGGTTGCTGCATTCGGCAATTCTTAGCTACCTGCGTATCACTCTTGATTGATAGCGCCAGTTGTTTGGAACATTTCAGGCTCGTCAGCCAACGTTTGTCTGCATTCTGACGAACTTGTACTTCGCAATCTTTTGTGTCTCGGTTACCACGAATACCCCATGCTGGACGAGGTCATTAAACTCCCTAGCTAAATGGGCAAATGGAGTGAATGGGCTAATCGAAAGACGGAGTCGTTCATTTTCGTGTTATCTTTTTGGGTATGATTCTCGAGGGTAACTGCGCAATCTTGTACATTCTGGTGCCTACTCTACACACGCGCCTTTGTCGGCTTTAACCTCTTTCTGCTTGACTTTTTCATGCCATTATGTGTTCACTTTCCCTTTCTCCCACTTTCTATCTTTGTTGCTGTCATTGTGTGATGTAACGGCCGGAACAAATGCATTCCAGTGTTCGATCCTAATCGCACCTACTGAACCGACTCATGGACACCCAATGTTTGAACGATTCCACATGTCGGGCTTAGTATGACTGGCATAAGGAGGAGTTCATTGATTTACCAGCCTGCGTTGTTTTGTACAAATTTCTGCGTTTATAATGCAGCCGTCCGTTCAACCCTATTGTACGGTTGTGAAACCTGGGCCATCAGGTCGACAGACGTAAAGAGACTAATCACGTTCGACTATCACTGCCATTGCAGCTTAGCTCATGTCTGGTGGGAGCACCGCGTAAGCAATGAGCGTGTTCGGCGTCGCGTATTTGGTGCAAGAAAAACGAGTGAACCGCTCAGCACCGTAATATCATGCACCAGGCTTCGATGGCTGAGCCACGTGTTGCGCATGCCAGCACACCGACTCCCACGACGTGCATTGTTTGCGTGCCGGGAGTGCGATTGGAAGAGGAGGAGGGGAGGCCAAGCGATGACTTAGTCTAGAGAAATGCAAACCCTCACTTCGAAGATGGGGTCGGTTGGTGCATCCCGACTGCGTGGCTGGGTTCCTAAGGACGATGGACACGTTTGGTTGGACAAACTTGCTGCTGTGACGAAGAGCCGCCCGCGTTGGCGTTTGTGTTGTGCGCTTCTTTGTCCATCCCCCTCCCTATTAGATCCCCCCTACAATTCCGATCTCACACGAAATGCATAATATTATATTTAACATAATGTTACCTGCTTTTAACTGTTTTTGTGGTGTAACTTTTTTCTATCTTACCTTTTTGTATTGCGGCACATTAGCTAAGGTGTGTTTCTCACTCTCAACTAACATGTATTAATGATGATGATGCTGATGCTGCTGCTGCTGATGATGATATTTCGTTACCCACCGATCACTTAGCCGGAAACGAGTAAATTGTCCTTGGCCTTTATTCATGATTTGATTCCCTCCTGGTTCCAAAAGAACCCTGTTCTCATTCAGTGCCATTGCACAGGAGTAGTTATGACTCGTTTATCTGAGCAGATAAGGACGGATGCCATGTAGATTAAAGAAGGTGCGCCATTCCTAAGCACTACTGTTGCTCCTTTCACTTTTCTTCTCATTGGTGAGTGAATTCTCTAGTGACTTCATTCTAGTTTGTTCGATCAACCCAGGACATCTCTTCCTGTTGAATCCTACTCCTAATTTCTAATCCATACTTCCATCAGGGAATGGTTTACATAAACCTGCCAAGTGCGATCTGCGCTGCGGACAACGGGCCAATTCATCTGCGTTTTTATGATTAAATAATATCTTGGATACATTTGAGGCCGGTCTACAGTGATCCAGTTGCTCATTGCTCCTATCCCACTAATTCATTGCGTTGTTCGCTCAGCCAGAGCCTGAACAGATTAGTAACGCTTGAGGGCGTCCTACATTCTCCCCAAAATGAATACCGGTATTTTTCTCTAGATTTGGTTTAGCGCGCACCTTATGACTGCAAGAATAACCCGCGGACAATTCCGATTTCACTGAACATAGGCTTCAATGTTTTCTTTTACTGCATTCTTCACACCTCCGGCTTTTTATTTTCCTTTTCAATCCTGTTCTAAGTATAAACCTTAGTATCGTGATTTTAACCTTTATCGTCACTTTCATTAGTTTTTTTCGGCCTTGGGTTTTTCAGTAGCCCACTGGCCACAAACTGGACGTATCATACGTCGATTCCTAGTTATTTCCCCTGAATTTAGATGGAAAGTAAACCTACTTCATGAGCGGTAACCACCTGCTTATTGTTCTTTATAGCTGTTGAGGCTAGTTCCGGATTTGTCCAAGCGAATCCTGAAGAAGTCAGTGATGTACGCTGGACTTCGCAGATTGAATTAGAACGGTGTCTGGAGTCGTGCGAACTCGATGGTCATCGTTTTACCCCTTGGTTTCGTGGGCTTGCTTCTGCGGGTTATTTGTCTCTTATTTGGCGTTGGGCCAGGGTCTACCGATCCGGCGGACCGGCTTTTATTTCGGAGGATTCTTTGTGGAAGCGAGATGTGATTATTCCCCTGGGTCATCTCAGCTAGCACTACTTTTTCTCTGTTTCTCCCATGGTGTACCATTTCAATACAGGCATACAACCAAGTTGCTTCACTTTTGTCCCTAACTGTTGAATGCTTGTTCATCTCTCCTGGATTAGTACCGTGGCTGTTCTATCTCGCTCATTATGTTCCAACCTCTGGTGTTAACATCTACATTAAACTGTTTTCCAACGTTATTCGCTTTAGACGGGTCTTTCTGATCAAATTACCTTTTCATCCCTATCCTGTTACTTTAGCTGCAACGTTTTGCAGCAAAGTGCGTGCGCAGTGCCGCTTTATTGCACTGGCAGAAGTTTTTCTCTCTTGCCGGATAATCCTAGTCGCTCGTGCATGTTTTCCACCTTTCCGTTCTGCCTATCTTTAACTCAGTTTTAAGTGTCGCCCTGTCCCACACAGAGCAGTGGCTACTGCATCAACTCAATAACTATGGAAGTTAAAGTGGCCATTTTCACAGATCCCCATAGCGACCCTAGCTTACGAGGATAGAGCAGTAAGCTTCCGGATGCACAAAAGATCTTAGTTTTTCAGCAAAATAAACATTACATTTCCCCGAAGTACTCTTCACCAGCGTTTATGCACAGTTCTATATGCTCTGACCATTTGGAGAAGCATCTAGACCATGCTGAAGTGGTGAACCCTTCAAGCAGCTCAATAAAATCCTCCACCGCAGCTTCTGGAGACTCCTAGCATATTCCGCGCATCATGCGCTTGACATTTGGGGACACCTAAAGTCACACAGAGCCAGATCTGGACTGTAGGTTGGGTTTCCAACCTCCTGGATGCGTTTTCTAACTACCAAATCTACGATGTCATGGGACCTGTGTGCAGGTGCTTTGTCATGGTGCAGCAAGGTTTCGTGCTCGAGTCCTTGGACGACTCCTGAATACAACTTCCAGCACTTGTGGCAGACAGTGAGTAGCATACCAGTCCCAGGTGATTGTACGCTGCCGTACTAGCGGTACAGTAGCCACATGACCTGTCTTGGCCACAAACACAGCCACCATTTGCTTGACCAGACTGCGCTCACGCCTGAATTTCTGAGGCGGCATTCCACCAACGCCTGTCCACTGAGCCAAATGTTGTTGTCTCTGGGTCGAAACTGTAACTTAGCTTTCATCACTACTGAGGATTCATCAAGCAGCATCGGAACGTCCACCATCCAACCCCGAAGCATGGTGCGGCAGCAATTCGCCCGAACTGCTTTCTGACCCTCACTAAGCTGATGGGGTACCCAACGAGCGCAAACCTTTCTGAGTCCGAGCTTCTCATGTAGGATGGTGTGGATTGATCCCATTGAGACCCCGATAACTCCCCAGCTGTACTGTTGTCACCCGCGCATCCTCCTCCAACATCGCTTGCAACACCACACCGTGCCTCATTATCCACGGAACGCCCGCCGCGCTTGGATTCCGCTAACCACTCAAATTCGGTGGTACTTGAAGTCGCTTCATCACCAAATGCAGCACGTACTCGCTCAACACTCTGGTGTTGTTTAAACTACATTTCTACTCATGAAGCGCATCGTCCTCCAGTGACATTGACTACGTTTCATACAGTCAGACTGTAGGACTTTTATCAAAATGCACCTACCCGGGTGCATTAAGCCTACTTTAACTTGACTTGTTAGCTGTGCTGGGCTGTTGATATAGGGTTCTATGAATTGAAATCACTGAACAATGTTCAAAATGGATAACGGTGCACATTTTTCTTGCCAGGTCATTTGCACGTAATCCGTGTACTACGTACCCGGAAACTGCCCTCGTACTGAGCAATTCCTTCGATGTGAACAAATGCCTTCACAAAGGCTTTGCTGTGACCAAACTTACACAACATTTCTGTCCATTTATTCTTATTCACAAAGCGAAACCTAAGCAGCGAGTTCAAAACAAGCGATTGTTTACGATCTTACTACTACAGCAACAACCGGTGACAACGTAATTTACGGGTACAATAGGTAACAACTGATCAGACGTCAGCATCGATGGGCGTCGGTGGTTCATGGCATGGAAGGCACGTGGGATTGCTGAGTTGGGCCGGAGTCCTCTCGTTTGGCTAATGGGCATGGCAGTTGCAAGGCTTGGATGTGGTTCTACTGGACACATAAGTTTGGTTTTGTAATCTTGCGCATACCGATTCTGCGGTAGCAAGTCAGTGCGCTCTCAGCCGATGGTTCTGTAGAGATGGCACTTTGTACACAGGAAGCCATACTGGACAGGTCATTACACACATTTCCAAACTTTCGTATCACTCATCCGGAAAAGGGCACTGGTTCACACCATGACAAATCGCGCATGCCGAATCTGCACCGACGAAACAATCGCAGACAAGATTAAGCAAATCAATACGTCCTTTTGGATTACAAATACTCAGAACGTTTCATCAATTCATAAAACCAAGCAGTCTGAAAGTTACAAGGTATATAGCCGAAAAGAAACATCTGTTTCTCACCCTTCCATTTAAAGGCGATAAAGCGTCAGAAACCTGTGCGCTGTGACTAATGAGAACCTACTAGCAAACCTTCACTGTGACCTAAATTTAAGGTTGTCTTCATGAGCAAGTGCTATTTGTTCTTAGATTAAAATTAGTATGCCTGCTCGACTCCAATCCATGGTAACCTACCGGTTTATCTATCCCTGTGGGCCTAGGTACGTTGGACGCATTACCAGGCACTTAGGTAAAAGAATCAAGGATCATCTACCGAATTGGCTTAGCAACCAACACAATAACCAGCTTCAGTGACATAACCACTCATCTGATAAACACCGGGCACCGAATTGATAAAAGGACAGCTTTTGAGATTATGTACGAAATGCCATCTCTGCAGTGCCATCGGCTGAGAGCGCGCAGACTTGCTACCGCAGAGGCGGTATGCGTAAGATTGCAAACCTGAATCTATACGTCCAGAAGAACCACATCCAAGCCTTGCAACTGCCATGGCCATCAGCCAAACGAGAAGAGTATTTCTCAACTCAGCACTCCCACGGGCCTTCCATCACATGAACCACGGACGCCCATCGATGCTGACGTTTTAAATGGCCTGACCAATTGTTACCTTTTGTGCCCGTAAATTGCATTAACAATTCTCACCGTTTGTCCGTTTAATTAGCTTGATGAAGAATAGATCGAAACTCGCTGTTTACGTCTCTCTTTGGGGATAATTATGTTCATGTTTCTGAATCGACCTCCTATTTGTTTTTCTCGCTTGCTTTGCAGCATTTTTATGTTCATCGGTATCTGCCTTGATCTTCTAGTGAATATCTAAGACGCATCTACTGTTATTCTTCGCGCACTCTCCCTCAATGTTTCTGTCAGAGTAAGGTTTATGTCAAACTTTCTTCGTCCTTCGCTGTCGCTAGCTGTATGGCAAGGCTACCCTCTGTCCCTGTTTTGCGGTTTGAAGTATCTTAGTACGGTATGTGCTTCGCCTCCTCGAAATGTAATGTATTGTGGCACAGTAGCTGAGATGTTTCCCCCCTCTACCTAACATGTACAATGACGAATTTAAGGTGCCGCTCCAGAATGGGCATGGGAGGTTCTGGGCTGGTCACTTGTTTTTTTCATTAAATACCACAAAGACTCGTAAGACACTGTCAAAGCCGATGTGACCGGCTATAGGGTCACTGACCGCTCTCTTCTGGTCACAGAAGTAAGTACTTAACGGCGGGCGGATTAACAGCCTCGGTAGCTACCGGATTCTATGAAGGTGTATGAGCCACCTGGCTGTCAACGGCCTTCGTGCTTGGCGGTGAGTTCGATGGTCCAGGGAGTACTGGCCTTCTTGCTGCTTCACACGTGCTCTTTGGGTGCTCTGAGTAGTTTGCCCCTACTCGGAAACCGTGTTACCTTCACCTTGATAGCCGGCTCCCAACGGTTCGCGGTATACCACAATCGCTCCGCTGCCTTACGGGTTAGGTCTTTCATGAGCTAGGCATCCGTGTGGGGTCCCCTAAGCCAACCTTCTTCCTCTGCCTGAGCAACAGAGAAGCCCCATGCCCACACAGGTGGAACCATGTCTCAACGATTCTTCTCTCTGGAAATTGAACCCTCGGCCGAGGTGCTGGCGGCCGAAGCTGTCAAACCGTTCTACCACCATCGTTTAATCACTTTATTCTACATTTGTTCAACTCCCCACTCTTGGTTTTCCTCCTCCGTTTCCGAGTCCACGACACCGTGCCGCATCGGGTGAGCGTTCTCGCCATACGGATCAGGAGCTTAGAGCAGAGGATGTGCCAAATCGTGTTGGCAAACGATTTCCATCTCTCCGTTCCCATTTCAAGCTGGCAACCTTCAATGTTCGGACGCTGATGCAAATCGGACCACAGACAGCCCTTGCGCACACTCTAGAAACTATGGCCGTTCATGTCTGCTGATTCAGTGAAACCCGTTTACAGGACTAACATGACACTACGACTGGTTTCACCGTCTGCGAGTTCCGCCGGCATTTTCAAACTGCGATTACCTGAAGACGCATTTGCCGAAGCCGCTGATCTTGCCGTCGTGGGGATTGCGTTGAGCACACACGTTGAGGCCACGCTGCTTAACTGGATCCCTGTCAACGGTCGACTCTGTGCGATTCGACTTGAAAGATCAGTGCGACTGTCCAGGTGCGGAGCCAGCAGCCGTTATTTCTTCATTTTCGCGGCGTACACTCTTACAGACTGCTGCCCCGAGACAGTTCAAGACGACCTCTATGGTCAACTGACCGACCTGTGTAAAAAGCGACGCACGACATTGTGGTGGTTGCTGAGTACTTGAATGCAAAGGTCAGTGGATTTCAACTTGAACTCGGTGGTCAACACGGATATGATATTTTCAAAACAGACAACGGTGATCACCTACTTCAGCTTTGCTCCGATCACGGCCTCTTTTTGCCGTACACTAGCTTTCGGTGTTCCCGACGCAAATATGCCACCTGAAAACGTCCATCATCTGGCCAGCCGTGGACACAAATTGATCATATCGCCATCAGTTATTGATGGCGGGTAGCATAGAGGATTGCGAATCGATCTGGAGTACCGAACTCACTCAGATCACGCGATACGT